GCATGAACCCTGAGCCGGGGGCCAAAACTGTTACTTGGATAATGCATTCACAAGGCAGCCACGCAGGTGGTCAACTTGTCCGGCTGCAAGGTTTGGGCGTGCACCCTTCCCAGCCAAAGATCCTCTAGTTATGCACATTGTATTAATGTGTACATATACATTACCTATATAGACATCAGTGTATATTCAGCTTGTTTTGCCGGAACCCCCTTGGTGGTTGTTTGAACTCCACTGGAGGGGCATGCCCAGATTGTAAACGCTCAAGCCTTTGATTTGGGTGAGCTGAGCTGGCGGCCTCGCGTTTTCACCGGTAGGCTACCACTGCAGCCCTCCAGAAGTTCCTGAACTCCAGGACTGGGGGGGGGGGGGGCCGCAAGCAGCAGCACATTCTGCGCTACCAAAGGAACCTCCGGAGAAAAGTGGCGAAGTAGACACAGAAATTTGGTATCAAAGTTCTATTTCCCACACCATGATCCCGAGTGCGAAGAGGTATTGCCATCAGCTGAAGCCATCCCGGATACACATTGACATATTGATGGTTCCTTGAGGGATAGGCAGGAATGTCCAAGATGTTCAAGTCGAGTAGGGTGATTGTGGGGGGTGAGCACACCAAAATTGAAGTGGTCCACCCAATCTAGAGAGTCTGGTTAAGCCCTATTCCGTTTGTCAGGTCTGAAGAGTAGATGTGAGTGGATCTTAGCAAATCTCGGAGCCCTTGCCCAGCTAGATTTGCCAGGAAGGCTTCGATTTGCCAAGACGCGCGCTACACCACCGTTCCAGAGCAGCACGATCTGGAGGCCTTCGAATCCCGTCACGCGATTGCCGGTTAGGATAACGCGACATGGCGTACTTTGTTCCCATTCGCTTCAGCAATCACCAGCGGAGTCTTGCCAGACTGGTACGGCTGGGAAAGGCAGGGCATGCTGACAATGCAGGTGCGAACTTGACGTTGGGCTCATACTGGCTGAAAGAGAACTTAAACTGCCCCATGCCAGCATGCCAACTGCATCCGATGTATGGCTTCACGCCAGCCGAAGAAGGTTACCCGATCAAAAGCTGGCTAGACGGTTGCACCCATGGGCCAACTGCTGTTTAACTTGGATTGCGCAGCAGCGACCTGCTTTTCTGAAACGCGTCTCTCCAATGTTGGGTTTCGTTGGGCGAGGGTCTTTGAGAGCCTCCTTTAGGTTTGATGTCCCTGAGGCAGCAGAAAGACCCATGCTGCAACCGGAAGTACATGATTGAGAGTAGGGTGAAGTAATCACCATCCTGCAGCTTTAGATTTTCTTTAAATGCAAAGCCTTTTGCTGGCCAGGCATCCTGCTGGGCATTAGCCCTCTTCGGTGGAGCAGAAGAGGCCATAGATGAGGAGTCCAATCGGGATTGGCAGCAAGGGGTTGGCCAACAGAAAGGCCTCGCAGCTGGCTATGAGAAGCGTGTTCTTTGAGCAGGCATTGACCAGCCACTTGATTTCCACGAGACGGAGCATAGGTTCCAAGCCATGTCTTGCACAATGTATGTGTTTGTTGGGTGTGTTCGCTGGACCGCACTTGAGCCACAGCCAGCATGCTTCTATGTGCCTGTGAACCCCACAGCCAACCATGAGATATATATATATATATAAACGTTTTTGTTGCCGGGCAACGTGGTTGGACTTACTTCAGTGAATGAACCGTAGGGTGTACCATGAGCAGTACGGGCGCCAGAACAGCAGCTGTTGAGCCAAAGTGCATGTAACGCTATATAGCATTTGGCTCAGTTGTCTGATACACTGCTGCATTGCCATCATCGTACCATCAGCCAATCAACTTGCTGCTTCTTAGCACGGGAGATGTGCGTTCAAACTTGAGTACTTGGATGCGTGTCAAGCTTTACAGTTCAATGCGTGGGCGAGAAATTGCGACAGAGCTTACCAAAAATGTCAAGTCTCCCTTTGACAGTTTCTGAAGAAGGCCCCAGCATGGAACTTCCATGTCCAAAGTGCTGTAGCTGCTGTCGAATCCTCAGCGGAAGGACGCCTTGAACATGATTTCGGTGCTCGGACCAGACCTCCTGGAGAACGGCCGCAAGACAGCCAAGGCAGGAAGAGTATGGCTTGGCTCGTGAATTGGGCACCGAGAAGCCTTAGTTCAATTGTGCTCAAGCAGTCTCACCAATGAATGCATCCATCATGTGAGACAACACCGAAATGAACATGAAGCAGGTTTAGATGAAGGCATCACAACGCGTCATGTTGACAGGGGACTTACAAAACCCCCCCGCCCCCTTGCACGATACCGCTACAAATTACGAAAAGCTAGAAAACGATAGGGGACGTCCTGAATCTGGTCCGTGGCTTATGTCAGCGGAGCCAAAGCACAGCTGACTCAGTGACATCAACGCGTGTTTGCGTGTGTGTTTCCTACAGCTTGTGACTATGTTTTTGGCAGCATGAGCGTGTGGCTGCCATGGTGTGGTGGATGCGCTTTTGCGCCTTTTACCTCGCGTTCGCCGTGGCAAGCGTGGACGAGTACCATTGCGCGCGGAGGTTGCCCAGTGACATCCTTGACTACCTGAATGCAGCCCTGGCCGGGGAGATGGAGACTACACGGTCGGTGCAAGATAGCCTGAACATGGTAGACGGTTTTCTGCAAGGCTTTGGCTTGCAAGTGCGCGCTGGCGCGGTCGGCTGGGCCAATCTCTTTGAGCCACTACAAGGCTGCCCGGCGGTTTTTGTGGCGGCCGAGGTGGCACATGGGCTGAGCGTTTTCCACACGAACGTCTCCACGCCGCCCAACGCTCCTGCCCACTTTGCCAGAGCCTTGGCTATGGTGAGCGCATGGAACATTTGGTTCCGCAAGCAGCCGCAGATGGGGCTCAAAACCCAGCTGTGCCAGAGTTTGCTTGACAGGACGCATTTGAACCGAGCAGTTGCAGCTGCACTACGCGTCACAGGCTGTTCACAGCAGGAAGAGACGTTGTCATTTTTATTTGGCTGCCAGGGCCAAGGGGGTCTTGCGGCTTGCCCAAAACCTGTGCTTCAACCCCTTCCAGATTTTTTTGCATTCTGGCAGCAGCTGTCTCGCGCATTCACCTTGGCACCTACTTTGCAAATGCCTTGGGGCTCCGGTTCTGAGCCATACATGATGAACCTGATGGTAGAGGCTCTCAACATTTCCGCTTTGGTGAAGGGTCGCGCGCTGTACTTGGAGTTCGGGGTCTTCAAAGGGGAGAGCATCAATTTCCTGGCCCGACGCCTGCAGCAGCTGGGCGTGCCGAAGAATCGCATCTTCGGGTTTGACTCCTTCCAGGGTCTGCCGGAGGACTGGCGCGACGGGTCTCTCGGGGGGCTCAGCTTCCGGCGCGGCAGCTTCGCGGTGGAAGAGCTGCCGAGAGTCGAGGACAACGTGCGCCTGGTGCGAGGCTGGTTCAACGAGACAGTGCCGGCCTTCAGGGCCGGCCTGGAAGCCGCGGACGGGGAGGTCTGGATCCACCTCTTGCACGTTGACTGCGATCTTTACAGCTCGGCCCTGGAGGTATTAATGACTTTGGCCCCTTTTTTGAAACCAGGCAGTCTCTTGGTCTTTGATGAGTTGGTGAACTTCCCTCAGTTTCAGACGGAGGAGCTCCGCGCCTTCTTTGATTTCTTGCAAAAGCACCCTTGGAGATTTCGGGTGGTCCACTCACCCTGGTTCCTCGTGAGATCAGTATCAGGGTTTGCGGAGCTCTACTTCAATGAAGGCATTTCTGATGTAGACTTGCTTCAAGCTGCAGCTTTTGAGCTGGTCGAGTGAGCGACAAGCAAGACCTGTTCATTCCGAAACCGCTGGCTGCCCATGCGTTGATAGCAATGGCAAGTTGCTTGATGTTTAGCCATCCTGATCCTCGAGGAAATTGATTTCGAGTATGAATGCTCAATCGTCACTTTGCGGTGAAAGCAGGCGTGCCAGTGGTTCGCCAAGAACAGTCCGAGTTTGAGGGGCCAGTTTTGCGAAGAGCTTTCCTCGTGCAGGCTGCATACTCATTTGCACAATGAGAATGAGCGTTTGAGTTTTGACAGCCCGTTTCATTAGAGCAGGTTGGCAACTCAGGAAAAGGCCAGGCCGCAAAGATGTTCCAGGATGCAGGAATCTTGCTGGAAGGGTTGTGACAACTGAGCGGTCATGTGGATGGTCGTTTGTTCTATATTATATAAAAAGAAACCACTGCAGAGTTGATTGTTGCTCCTCAATCCTACAGCACCTGACCCCTTCCAATTTCATCCATCGTTGCAAGGATGTTGAATAGCTGGGACACCAGTTGCCGTGTCTTGTTGTGTTGGCCCCGGCGTGCCCAAAGTCCCAGCACCCGATTGGCCTGGATGCTTGATCCCAGGCACGGCTGGTTTTGCGGGAAAACAACTTGCCAGTACCCTGCGAGTGGTCGTGCGCTTAGTCTGCTATGCCCCGCGTAAGCAAAGGAGTGTTGGGTCCACGAGCAGGTTCAGGCCATCAACGATACATCATGCTCAAATGAGGGTCTCATGTTCGGAGTTAAGGACAGTACTTGCAAGGTCTCCTCACGGCGGACTTGATCGCACTTCTATCATACACTACCCCCTACACGATAGAAGTAACACGCACCTTTAACTAAGAAAAGAGCATGTGGGAAAGTTGATATTGATATTGTGTGAACCCCTGATTGATCAAGGAATCCGTTTTTCCCGGGGGTCCACAGGGCTCGCCATGGGGCATCTGTGCCCGAGGTGGGGCACCGCTCAACTCCTGGCCAATCTGGGAGATGCGGCCTGGGTTCAGGCCGCCAATTCCGATGCCGCTGTGGCAGCCGTGCATCTCGTCTGGAGCTGTGACCTGTGGCCAGCTTGCTGATGACAAAAATACATCGAACAGATTCTGTGGAGAAACCAAACAGAGGACGGGATGAGACAAGCTTACACATACTGTATGAATGGAGTATATATATATATATATGTATCAAAACATATAGAATATATATATGTATATATTAATAATATGATAGCATACATGTCGCCATCCAGCGACTGCTTTTCTGCAGCATTTTCGGGCTGAGGAAGCTGTTGTAGCGGCTTGTGATTGTCTTTGTTTGGCATGTCCTTGCAGTGGGGAATGCACGCATGTAGCCTTCCCACGGGCCTCAAGCTCAAAGTCCCTCCGGCAGATGGCACATGATCGCATGAAGTTGGAGCATGCTGGAGGACAGAGGCTGAGGTGTTTTAGGTCCCGGTGGTTTTACGGTTGGGGGTCACCCCACGTTCGGTTCCCATCGCAGCGGCTCCCAAGGCGAGCATTGCGAAGTCTGGAGGAGGTGGACGAGGAGCGCCAGATCGCGGTCGCGAGTCCGCCGCCGTCGGGACTCGACGTTGGCCAAGGAAAATCAAAGGGAAGGGGAGGCCTTTGGGTGTCATCAAGCAAACCCATAGGTGGTTTGAAGGTGTGTTTCTTCCATTAGATTGTCATGTGGAAGGTTTGTTATTTTTTGTGTTTTCCTGTTTTGTCCTCATGTTTCGGGCTTGGCAACCAGGGGATGAATGCCCTGGCCAGGCGCCCCAAGGCGTGTGGGAGATGGGCGTGGCCGTGCTCCTGGGCCACCTCCGTGATGGCTCCGCAGCCACAGTGGAGGCAGAGACCAAAGCAGAGCTGGTGGTCAGGGAATGAGAAATGGAAGGACCCCAAGAGAAACCATCGGCGGTTGCCTGTATTCTATCCCCACGTTCATTCCCTTCCCTGAGCACCAGCAAGTACTTGTCCATTTCTCCATTGCCTGCTGGACTAATTACCCCACAGCAGTCTGTGCGTCATAAAGGCTTTTGAGCAGTCATGAAATGCCAGAACTGTGAATGACATATTGCTGACAACGCGAGGCACTGGCACCTTTTGGACACAAGCAACAGCACAAACAGGGTACCCTCCAACCTTTGCAGAATTTGTTGGCTCAATCTGGGTTTGCAGAACCTCCACGCACGTCGGCGTGCAACCAGAAAGGCCATTGAATTGGTAGAGTAATGGAAGACTCGCTAGTGGGCAAGTAGCTGGACATTTCCTGATTTGCTTTTTGGCAGTGAGAAGCTGCGCCAAACATCGCTTTCCAGCGATTGTTGCACATCGCTTTGGCGCTGAAAGCATGAAATCTATGCAACCACGCTGGATTGGCTCGGCAATTGTCAGAGTACTCTGAACAATGTGTTCTTTTAAGAACTTGCCAATGCAGGGCAGACTGGTACAGCAGTTGGGCAGATACACCATGGCCACCCCCATCCGGCCGCCTGTAGCTTTGTTTGCTTGCCAGGTTGTTTGTCACGCCCTCGGGACGCTGACTGACACGCACTTACTGCGCGTGGAGGCGCGTCGTTGACACTGCTCAGAGCTGAACGCCCATGAGTCATTGCTGCATTTCCAACCATTGGCCTGTGGGATGGTTTTCGGTCGTTCGCATACCCCGGAGTCATTGTTTTTGTTCACGTGCTGATGTAAAGTTCAATGTAAAGGGGTTTCCTACTTCATGTATATAATGCTTGCTGGGGCACCGACGCAAATCGGGCCTCATTTTGAGCCCCCAGCCCGCAACCTGTCCACAACCACCGGGTTGAGGCGCCAAAATGTACAATGTGCGACATGGCCATTGTGAGGTGCACGACTGCGCGCGGAAGGTTTTGGCAGCGCGGCTTCGTGCGAATGCCTCCATCCACCAGGCAATTCGGCTGTCCGGATGTTTTGTAAGGACCACGCCGGAAATGAATCAGCCATAAGACATGGCATGATCCGCATGTTTTGTTTCGATGACTTTTGATTTTCGCAGAGACGGTTGGTTTTGCACATTGTGTATCCAACATTGTTCCTCTTCAAGATGCATATTGCAGAGAGTCTTGGTTGTGCACGCATAGGTAGCTAACAAGACCTGGTCTTTGCTCAATGGGAAGACGCACGCCAGGAACTACTCTACTTCTCTAGATAATATGTTCCATTCACATATGCATGTACGCATCATAGCTCATGACTCATGACCTCACGCGCCAGCCACATGTTCTATGGTTGAGGCATTTGGCTTGTGTATTTGCTGTGTCCTTGCTTCGGCTTTAGAGCTTGGAGCAATCGAAGCCAAATTATGTAACCGCTACGGACCTAGGCTGCACCCTGATTGTTTTTCTCTTTGTCTCAAAACAATGTCCTTGTTTCTTTTGCCGTGCTAAACACAGCCGGTCACAGTTTCCGCTCGGCAGCAGTTCCCAAACATGCCCCGCAGTTCCCACCCTGCACTCGCCCTTGTGCCGTCGACTGCGTGAGTCTGGCATGTTTGGCTGCGCCTGCAGGAAATGTGTATATACCTGACTTCGCGAAAGTGCTGCGCCTGCCACGCAATCTGCACCTGGCCTTGCAACAGCGCTGCGCTTGGCACGAAATCTGTATTGCGAAAGTAGTGCGCGTCTCACAAAATCTCTGCCTGACCTTCTGAAGTGCTGCCATGCAACCTGATGTCGCGCGTCCGTGCCGATGGTCTGGCCTGTTTGGACATTTCTATTTTTCCGCCCCACGCACTGCTGTGCGCATTTTTCCGCGTGCGTGCTTATTCTTCTCTTGTCTTCTGTCAGAGAGCTAGCGTTCAATTAGTGCCCGTACCACAGAAATTCCTTCTAAACTTGCGTTGATTGCTATGTCCAAAACATGTGTTGTTGCCTTCTTGGCCAGCAAAGCTCTTGATCTGGGAGCGTCTGGGAGTGTCAACAGTTAGAGAGTCCCTGCTGCATGGCTTGAAAGGATAAGCATTTGAAAGGCCCTCCGAGTTTCGCCACCACATAGTTACTACTTTAGCAATCTGGACTTTTATTTCCATTTGAGCATGCGTTGAGGTTCACAATTCTGAGATTATTTATTGGAAAATGCCTTTTTTGTTGCCCGGAGCTCAAGCAGGAAGCATGCGCATTCCCCGTTCGCAGGGACCTCCCAGTTTCTTGCGACTTGTTTGTTTGCAAGCCACCGAATTGCCAGGCCATCGCTCGAGGCCTCGTCTCTATGCGAACCCTCATCCCGCAGCTCTGGCCAGTGCTGAGGCGCCAAGTGAAGGGCTTTGCGTCCCAAGCTGCTGTTCTTGGCCACTGTCAATCTCTTTCTTTTTCGTTTTCCTTTCATGTGTTTAATGTGTTCTGTTCCTTTGTCTCCTTTGCTGTTTGTTTGTTTGCTTTTGTGTTTGTTTGCCTGCCTGCCTGTTTGTCTGTCTGCCTGCCTGTTTGTTTGTCTGTCTGTCTGTTTGTCTGTCTGTCTGTCTGTCTGTCTGTCTGTCTGTCTGTCTGTCTGTCTGTCTGTCTGTTTGTCTCTTTGCCTGTTTGCTGCTTGTCTGCTTGCCTGGTTGTTTGTCCTTGTATATAGGCACTGGCCAATTCACAGAATCCGGCATCCTTACCAGTGCGAACTCAACGGACACCTTTTTCTCGACCGCCTTGACAGGGAGAGGCTTTCCAGCCCAGACGGCCTGGATGTGAAGATCGCGGCCGAGGCAGCTGTACTGTTTCTCCAGTCTTTCTCATCATTGGACTGGCCATGATGTTCATTACCTTGACTTGCCAATGAAAGATAGTTTTGAGGCTACTTGATGGTCCTCCTGTGCCGCTACATCTGAAATTGCTTGGGTGAGGCCATTCTTTTTCGAGGGCCAGTAGTCATATGCTGCAGTTGCCTTGAAAGAAGTAGTATTTGCTGCTTGGGTTTCAGGCACTGGCTGCGTTGCACGGTCAACAGCTGCTGCCGGAACAGGCGTGGGTCTCAGCAAGCCTCGGCGTCGCATCCTCTCCCTAGATCTGACGTCTCCTTGTCAATTTACCAGGGAGTTCGAGGCACTCGGGTTCCACATCTCTGGCTTGGAGTCTTTTGACTGGATATACGAGTAGGAGGAAATGACAAGCGCCGTAACAGGACACCCTCAGGACAAATATCCATGGCCCAAGCCTGAGAGCACGAAATCCGGAATCACTCAATCTGGATGTCCAAGCACGGAAGGTCAAGGGTGGTTTAGATTCGTGTTTCCCCCCCTTGCTCGAACTGACCCTCGCGGTCGAGTGCTGCGAGGGTTCACTGCTTCAAGCTGCATCATCGGGTGCACACCCAAAACCGCGACCCGGATCAGCACCACACGGGAAGTGCAAGGACGAGCGGCTTGGGAAACGGCGCGCAGGGTTAAGCACGCCCGTTCTCAAGAGATGAGTGGCAAAGCCTTTGGACGACCAGCACGTTAAGGGGAGTCTTGCTTTTCAAGGTGCTGTCGTCCTGCGTGGAGGTCTTGGGCGAGAGACTCCTCGAGGAGGACAGAAACCGCTGTTGGGCGTTGCGGTAGAATCAATTTGGCATGCCTTTTGCCTGGTATGTCGGCTCAAGCTCAAACACCATTGCTGCATGTTTCACGAGCGCAACAGTTTGGAGATGCTGCCCGGTACTCTTGTCCCGCCATAGGAATGAAATAAATGAAATCCTGTGGCCAAGCAACCTGGGATTCTGAAGCTGCGGAGTGTCAGTGGGGACGGCTATGCAAAGGCCTGCGTTGTTCTGCTGGTGAAGCCTCAGGCAAAGTTCAGCGGATGGAACAGAAGGGGCCGGGCAGGCTTTAGAGCTCCTTTGTTGTGGTTGGTAGAGGGATCCAGCAATTTACTTGCTTGGCGAAGCTGATTCTTTTGATAGTTCTCGCATGCAATGATTTCAGATCAGCGCCGCCTTCTCTTTGCATTAGCTGTGTGATTGTTATCGTTGCCCCTTTCCAGCTCCAAGCATCTTAGCATTGACCAGCAAACAACCCAAGCGCGTGACAATTAACACCGCCCACACAAAGAAGCGGCATGCCACCAGAACTAGCTTTCCGAGTTTTTCTCGCTCGTGGCAATGTACTTGTACCTTTGTTCTCCAATCGTGGAAGCTGGCAGGCTATGAATTTTAAGAAACCTCCAAAGTGCTTGGCGGACACAAATACACCCTACCTAAATGATGTTCATAAGCCCCACTTGAATTGGATGTCCACCAAGGGGTCCCTCCTTGAGATTCACACCATTCACTCGAGACCGCGCGGTGGCAGGACTGGATCGTGAGGGTGGCGGCCTGCCGAGGCCTCGCCTCCTTCGGCACACAGGCGCGAGTCTCCGGGTGAAGCGGAGAAAAAGTGGGTATGGGTCCAAATGCAACCACCAGGGGACCGCAGATTTTAGTCTTTGGTTCCCTTTACCAGGGTTCCATTTTGGGTACGCATTTTTGATCCATAGCCCAGTGAAAAAAGCCTCTCAAATATGTCCAGGTGACACCTCCCAGATCTGAACATTGATTTTGACAGCTGTGCTCTTCAGGACTGCGAGTTGCGACGGCAAAGCCGTGGAAATTTAGGCGATCTTGAGGTGAAATCGTTGTCTAGAGCAATCCTTCGTCATGTTGCTACATGATTGTGAGGCATGCAGGTTGTCATGAACTTTGGGGATTGGATGGCACGACGGGAAGCGGATCTGCTTTTGTGGTTGTTCCACGGGACGAATACCCCTCATCAATGACACATATCAACGGGGGAATTCCAGAACACCGTGTTGTCAATTCGCGTGAGTGAATATAGTAATAATAATAATAATAGTGCCAACAGACATGTTTGACTTGTGCGCACGCAAGGGCCAAAGTCAGTTGTTCAAACTCTCCCAACACAACAGAGCAGTGCGGTAATTACATGACGTTTCTCCAGTTGTGGCGAAACCTCTACTGTAACGTAACTTGTGGCACTGACCAAAAGATGCTGTTGGCATATCAGGCATGAACATCCTTATTACGGACAATAGCACTTTCGTCGGTGGTTCCTTACAGAGCAACAGAGGCTAGCTAGTAGGAGTCCCATTGCCACAATTTGACCTGAACCCAAAGCCTAAAGCTGTTCGAATGTATGGGCTGCATTCAGGTCGCAGGGCCCTACCTTGACCAGATCCTCCGAGTTGTTGACGACGACGAGGCACGCCGGAGACCAGTAGGATTAAACTTTGCTCGGCCACTGTTCAAGTTGTGTTTGTCTCCGTTTCGAATCTCTGAAGTCGACCATGAGCAGCTTTTAATATGATCCTGGGCTTTCTCGCTTCATGTTTCCCACCACAATTTCGCTGGCTTGAAGCTTTCAGTGCCTTTCTCTGCAGTTCACAGGGGCCCGTTGTGGCGGCGGCCGCTTATGCGGTGAGCGTGCTTGTGGGCAGAAGGCGCGAGAGAATGCTGGGGGCCCGGAGAGCACATGGCTCATGCTGAAGGATGTTGTTCTTAGCGCGTCAGACAGTGAGGGGTATAAGTTGTTCGATGGATGCATTTGGGAATCAGTGAACCTTTAGAAACAAAAAGCAGAGACGGGGTTGGAAGTTGGGCATGTCTAAACATGAGGTCCTTTATTTGGCCAATATCCTTCTGATGTCTTCAAAAACCGTCATTTTCCTTGGAAGTGGTCCAAGTCAGAATCTACTGTAGTGGCCACTTTGTACTCGCACAGAGAAATACCAAGCGCTGTTACGCAGAGCTGGGCAGCAGCTGATCACTTTCTGGAGACCTGATCCAGCGTACGTGCGTTCGTGCATGCTTGCGTTGATGCTTTGTTTTTGTGTTTTGTGTGTCTGTGTTTCTGTGTTTTTGTGTACGTGTTTGTTTGTAATCTGCTGCCATTCCAGCCCAGGTTCCAGCTGCAGGGGGTTATGAGAAGGCCGGGGGTGCCAAGAGATTTTCATTAGCTGTATCTAAAGTGGCGTCATGCATATCCCAATCCGTTCTGCCAGCTGTTCTTGCAGCAGGTCGGTCTTTTGGTTGCCCTTGGAGTTGTGCGCAGCCTCGAGATTGGAAAGGGGCCCCAAAGAGCATTTGAAGTGACCTTCTGTTGCTGTTGGCATATATCTGCTCGCGTGAGGGTCGCCCCACTGAACAATGTCAGCAACAACTAAGCCTGCAGATGCATTTGGCTATGATACAAGGATCGTTCAACCATTGCAAGGATTCTTGTTGTGATGGAAGAAGGAAGTCAGTAGGTTACAGACATGGACCCTTCAAGCACTTCTTTCTTGGAGCCAAACTTGAAGGACTCTAGGCCTTTGCGTTACTCGCAGCTGCGTGGTCACGCTCGGCTGCAGTCCCAGATGCCGGGTGGAGCGTCAAAAGCAGCGTCCTCAAAAAGACGCCCGAGCATCTAAAAAACAACACATCTCACCCGAACATCCTGTCTGGACGCCGCAGTATGTCAAGCAACTCCTGCACACTTTACTCCAGCATCTAAGATCCGAGCCAGGACTCCCAGGCATCCTAACATGTGGGAAAACATCTTTTGCCGGCGCCACACGAAGATGCACGATCATGTGATACTTGTGACAGCGCTCAACGATACTTGTGACAGCGCACGTGCTCTAAGGAAGCTGAGATGTTGCGGCACTCGTTCAGCCCCAGTATCCAGTTTGAGATGTTGCAGCGCTTGTTTCGATGTTCGGGAGATGTCCGAGAGTAGCCCGTCTGCCGCAGCCGGCCGCCCGCCGGCCCTGCCCACCCGCCCGCCCCCGACCGACGCAGTGCCGAAGATGATGGCCGGGGCAACGCAAGATTTTGAGATGTTGCGACGCTCCCTTCGATGCGCGGGAGTAATTCCCCCTGGAAACAGGTCTAAAGGCAGCCAATAGCTATCCTTTTCAGGATGCGGAGACTATGGGCAGCACAGATCATGCTAAAGATTTTGGATTGTGTCAGCCAGGGCCCTTTGGGCCTTCTGCCAGGCTGCAAATGCGGCTCGCTGACGGAGAAAGTGATTCTTGGGTACGAGCCGGCGCGTGCCAGGCTGGCAACTTGCAAGCTTGTTGCACCGGGGGGAAGCATGTGAGCCTTGGGCCAGCAGAAGAGGCGGGCTGCGATTCCCGACGGGGTTTGCAATGTGATGTGTTTTGGGGCATGCATGGCATGCCCACGGTGTCGAGAGCAGGGGCGCCCTCTAAGGCTCAATTTGAACTCTTCAGGAACTGAAGTGCCATGACTTCCGATGCCTTCCAATCTGCTAATCTACTAGCAATTGTTACTGACAGAGGCCGTGAGCAGAGCGACATTTAAACAAACAACATGAACTTGGAAGGGATCCGGCAACTGGAGACAGCAGTCAGTTGGTGTTTAGGCTACTCATCGTGAACTCACTAGCGGCATCATGCAGAGGGCAGGTTCTTTCACCCGACTTAATCTTAAACGACTCAGCAATATGCGCAGTTGAACTCCAAAAAGCTTGCTGTGTCTCCGGTTTGGGACCCGAATGAATCACAACAGTGACTGCTGCAAATATAAGATGCTCCTTCAAGCGCGGACCTTCCACCCCTTGGTTTTGCGGACTGCGGACCATGCTGTGTTTGTTCAGCATGGGGGAGCAAGCTGTTCCGTTTCCGAAGAGCATTCCACGCCCTCTTGAGGTTTCTGAACCATCCCCACTGGTTTTATCAAATCAACTTACATCTTATGGGCTGTCTCAAGGATCCTTTATCTTTGTTAGGCATTTCCGCTCGTGGGTTTGTAGCAGACCGGATTTTGGGGGAAGGTCAATAGGTTTTTGCTTGTACCCCGACCGGTTCCCCTAAATTTCCCCTAGATAGCAATTCACAACTATGTTACAATCATTTTCTTGTGGGGTTGAGCGCTGAGAGAGCTGGCTACTGTGTTTCGGAACCTTTGGAAGCACACGATGTGCCCACCTTTGCAGCTGTTGGCGTTCCAAGATGTCTGAAATCAGAACATATTGTAACAGTCGACAATTGTCAGCTTTGACATGTCAAGCATTCAAGCCGGTTTTGTTCGTCGCCAGTCGAGCCCTTCAGTTGTTTCTTTCTGTTACAAGTAATTAGTAACATTTGCGCCTGCTTATTTGTGAGACACACAGTTCTCAACTACGTTTGTCCTTTCCCGGGGTCATTTCTGCTGTTCTTGCCACACCCCAATCAAGTACTCACACGGTTCAGCCATGCTTTGGGATGCGAAGGGGAAGGGGCCCGGGATCTGGCACAAAACCAGTTCAGGCACGGGTTTGTCCAGCCAGCTTTTTACGGATGGCCTTGCAATTGGTACAGGCCAGCCACATGTTCAAGTGTGTAGGGGTTTTGACAACCAACGTTTTGGCGCATTCACCCAGCCTTTCATGAAGCAGCAATGAACTCGTTTTCCCTGTAATTAGTTGGAGCAATCCGTGAGCGACCCACGTCGGAGAGCTGTCCAAACGGGTAAAGAGACATTCCTTTTGTTGTGAGGTTTTACTGTGATATTTTGTTTAGAGGGCTGGCAAGTGAATTGTGTGACGCTTTTCCAGTTGATAATGAACACAAGGTCACGAAAGGGGTGACCAGCTTCGCATAGAACGTTAAGATATCTGTGATGCAAGCAGCCAGTTGCAGCGGTGAAAGGGGCGCAAGTACACTCGAACCAGCTATTTGTTCGTGTGTTGGCCGCATCTTCGTCCAAATGCCCAAAGGCGTAACCTAACAATGCTGCAAGCGAACCAGGCAGCAAAACATGCAAACCCCACTGTTTGGACATTATAAGATAATTACCAATAATTTTACCATAATTATAGGGTAAGTTGGATTTCCGATTGGGAATTGTTTTTTGCCGCGCACAGGGGCTCGGGCACTTGGGCATCGCTACAGAGGACACCGTGGCTGCCCGAACACCCGGCTACTCAGGAACCCGAAAGGTCCCAAGGGCATGGAAACGAAGCCAATGCCCAGGATGTACCTCACACTTTGCTTGGTCACAGCGCGGGTGTGTCGAATCTGGTCCCCATCAAGCCATTGTGAGACTGCTTAATGTTTCTTTGTGTGTTTGTGTTCCGCAGCGTATGTGCCAATTGGTTTGTAAAGTCAGCTTTAAAAAGGTACCTTTGGAGCGCTCGAATTTTCATATCTCGCGGACATCGTTTGCATGTCAGAGCTGAGGTCTTGTCCAGTCAGTTCACAGACAGCGAGGGCATTGTCGTGGAGGCTGCAGCAGAGGCAGGAGAGGATTACCCGTCGGCCAGGTTCCTGGTGTTTGGCACGAAGGTTCTATTGATGTCAGATATGTCAGCTTTCACTTTCAGGCATGATGTGGAGGCACTGTGCAGTTGTGCAAGGCATGTGCACTTAAAGTATGCTAATCATGACATTATCTTTGAGCCATACGCAGTGCTGTCCATCCTGATGACGTGTTTGTGTTAGCCTGACATATTGCTGTTGAACGATTGCATAGCACGAGTTTCATTTTTGCCTAGCAACGTGTTTGAATATTGGTGAAAAACCTACTTTTCGCTGAACATTCAGCACGCCCGCGCAGGCAATGTGTAGCTTGCATCTCTGGGGCGCCGTCGAGACAAAGGCGCCAATTGCACCAAGTTGGAGCGAACATGCCCAAGTGACGAGTGCTGGATGTCTTGAGGCCCATTGCATGCCTTGCCCGCCTTGTGCGCAGCTATCAAACAAAGGGGGCCTGCCTTGTTTCGACATGGGTTTACAGGTAAAAAGCAACTCGATGCATTCGGCCGAAGGCCAAAGCTGCCCTTGAGTCTTCGGAAAAGGGATAGGTATGTTTAGTTGTTGAGCGGGTGCTGCCTGCGTTGTCCCCCAGTTGGATGCAGCTGAGGAACCAAATCGATTCCTTAGGATGGCTTCAGAACACGTCAGCGTTGGCCAGGTGTTGGACGAAGAGGCTCGGAAAACAGCTCAGCGCCTTGGAGACGAGAACTGGCTCACAAGGCGCGTCCATTGGTAACCTCAGCTTCCGACAGGCAGGCTTTGATAAATGTCGCCCTTGAAACGAAATGACTCAAACGGAAGGCCTGTTTGATTCTAGCCCTCCTTTTTGCATGTCTTCGTAACATCCGCATTTGTTTCGCGCTTGATGGCTGGCGTGCCCGCTTCTCGGATCGTGCAGTGTTGCATGCCCAAGCTGCGTGGCATGAGGGAGGGGCATGAACCATCTACTCTCAGATCTTGAACACCGTGCTCGCTTGCGAGCACATGTGCATGCATCTCTGGTATGGTTGAAATTCGTGAGAGTAAGTGAGCGGATTGCGGGATCCCTTCGTTTGAATTGATTATGCAAACCACAACCAGAAATGCACCAGTGAGTTGACTTCAGGCTTATAAGTTATAGGTTTTTGCAGCGAAGCAGATGCCGGCTTTGTTTCCTGAATCTTGCAAGGAGAAACCCATGTCCCTTCTATGGTTTGCCACGCTGTGTGATTGGTGCAATGTTGGAACCAATTGATTGATGAAGAGCGGCGGAAGAATGCAGGGGGCCATACCAAAAAAGTGGTTGTCCAACATCCCAAAATGAAGCAAAAAGCATAACAGCATGTTTCACATTCGGGACAAAGCTGGCAAGCAGTCAGCCAGATGAAATGTAACGGGAAATGGTGCATCAAGGCTGCAGCCTGAAGACCCCCAGTCTGCACCTAAACTTGACTTGCCTGTGCACTAAAAGGCGCGTGGCGGCCTGCAGTCCAGTTTGCCTCAGTCCAGCTGCTTGTTGCCCAGATGTTGACACAGGTGGGCCTCCTGTGTGTGCCTGGGCGCGCTTGGTGTGGCAGCGCTGCCTTACATCCAGGCAGCAAGCTGTCAGTTTTGTCGAAGGAAGAGCAACATGCGGTTTGCTACGTTCGCACAGTTTACCGCATGACCATGTCACCACGGGTACCTCGTAGCCTTTGTCCAGACATGCTTGCTGCATGAAGAAATGTTGAACCTTGCAGGAGGCTGGAATGACACCCATGATGAGGATCTGCTTGTTGGAGTCCACTCAAGTCAGGTCAGTCATTGATAAACCTCACCCAGCTCCACACAGCACCCTGCAAGTCCCTGGTACCCCTGTCCGGATTCATTTCCCGTAGAGCTGAAAACCAAAAGGACGCCAAACATTTCCCCCCTCCTCCGATTGATTATTGGAAGCACAAATAGATAAACAAGTACTCGCACCCTCCGCTGGTTCAACCAGGCACAACCCCAATCATATTTTTAGGCCCCCCATAACCGCCACTTTGAGGTTCGAACAATCAACAGAAAACAATCAAAGTAAGGGTTGATGTGCCACTAGTACATAGCATGTTTTTTCCAGCACTGGCCATGTCCATTCAAAAACCCACGCAAATGAATGTAGCTACAGCTGCTGTCCAAGCCACAAACCTCATAACAAGGTCAAATGATCGTGGTAGACATTGGATTCATTCAACACCGGGGTGGGTTTTCTAACCCAAATGCGGGCTTCACCCAACAAATCAGAGACCTCTACCTCTTCCTTTCTCAGGCCCCTTCTACAGTTTCGATTCGCAGGAGTCCCAACCTGCCACATTGTAGCCTTTTCTTTTGAGTCACCACTGAACAAGGAAGCAATCCATATTTCCAGCATCGTTTGGTGCAAGATAAGCAGATGTTTTGCCAAAGTCCATAGAACTTGCAGCCGCCAACTCTAATTGCAGCATTTGAGCTAAAGCTGCCGAAGTGCAAGTTGCGCACTACGATTGTACTGAGAAGCTTCCATGTTCAAGCGCTGGGATTTGAGTGGCTAATTCTTTTGCTGCCTTCTCACTGCACAGGCCCAAGGCTGTTGCTTCTCAACATCGAATGGCTTGATTTGTTAATGGTGAATCTGCGATAGGGCGGCGCCGCGAAGCATTTGTTGGCAAATGTGAAATAGCAGGACCTACAGGACCGCTTCGAGGATGAGGATGAGAACGGCTTCGTGCACGATGCCGCGAGGATGAGCCTGAACCGGCCCGACAACCCAGCAGAACGCTGGCAGGAAGGATCCGATCCCAAGGCATCAATGCGTGAGCTTGAATGTAATGGCCGCGGGAATTTCGGAATCTCAGCATTTGGCAATTTCAAAGGAATGGAGATGGACCAGTGACGGAGGCCCACGGAAGTGACTTGCCCAGTCACAGAGTGCTCATAGGCCCAGTTGATCAATGCTGTTGATAAAACGACGCTTGCATGTTTGTTCATCGCTTGAGCCACTGGTAGCAGGTCCTTGATGTTTTGCATGGCAACATGGGAGTGAGCACTGTGCTATGATACGACTTAGACTATCATCCAACTCAACATGCTTTCGGCAGCGGGCCCATGGAGCGTGACATTGACGGTTTCTGGGCGTAATCCACAGAGCCCTTGCTTGAGCATGGACTTTCATGTGTAGCGCGAAGCAGAGCTCCATGTGGTGTGTTCCGTTTGAGAAAGTTCCTTTGGAGTTCCCTCAATGGTGAGGCATGACAAAGATGTTGACATGGTTGTCAAGGCTTTGAGGATACCATTCCAAATGTTGCCGCCTCAAGAGGCCTGAGCATTGCGGGAATGCCGAGGTTCGTGTTGGGAACTACGCACGGAATTCTACACTTAAGCTATCCGTTGCAAAATGCTGCAGACCTCATCACTACTTGCAATATCAAGACTTGTTGTGGAGGCCTCTGACTGAACCAGAAGAAGCAAACTGCAGCTTCTGCCACACCCGCTGATGCTTGAAGGGTAAGTATTGAATTTAGAGTCGTGGTGGCACAAGAAAGCCAGTCAAAGGCTCAGGAGACTCTCTAACTGCTCCTATCTCTGTAGAGCTGCACGTTCCTTGTTATTGGTGAGAAAGCACAGTTCCGTTTCATTTCAAAACAAAGTTACCCAGAAAATGATTTCAGAGCTTGTTCAGAATCATTGTAATGCGCTCACCAAGCTTGCGCCACTGCAGCGTGCTCAGGCTTTCTGTGATGCAGAGAGGCGAGCGCAGTTTGGAGAAGCTGTACTCGGCAAATGCTTCAGCACAAAATGCGGGAGGATTGTCACCACCAGCACCCAGCCGGCATTTTTATTAGCAGAAGCCTGGGATGTGCTTGTGGGTGTGTCTTGTTTGGAGGGTACTCCCTTTTGGTCCGGCTTGAAAGGGAAACTAGAAGGAAACCCCCCATTGGGGGAACCTTGATAGAAACAAACCCATGTGGACCTGCTATACCAAGGTGGTGTTCCCGCGGCTCTTCAGCTGAGGGATCTTGCAGGCGTTCACGACTACCGGATAGGCGAGCCAATGCAAACAACAGGAGAACGGAGTCCTCCCGGCAATGGGCATCAGGCAAATCGATCTTGTGCATGAGTTAGCAAGCGACTGCACTTTTGCAGCTTCAATTCTCAGAAGAGAATTGGAGTCATGTGCATGCCAATGTTGGTTATTTACGCAAATGAGATCAACAGCTGGACAACACGACATGGAAGCTATGCATGGTGTGTTGGTTCGTGTGTGTGTGTGTTTGTTTGTTTGTGCAGGAGCTGGACGAACACATGCGACAGAAGAACTGTTGCTTTCTCCAATTAGAGCATTTCCTGGTGAGTCGGCAAGGACCAAGTCATATTATTGTGAATGCCCTCGAGTAAACATATTGTGTAATAAATATTATAAATATTGTGTACATGTATGTAAGTAATGTAATGTAATGTAAGTAAGGTATCAATGCATGCATGTATGTAATGTACATACTGTAATGCAATGCAATGCAATGGAATTGCAATGTAACGAAATGTATGCAATCCAATGTAATGTAATGTAATGAAATCTAATGTAATGCAATGCAATGCAATGTAGTGTGGTGTCGTGTAGTGCAGTGCAGTGCAGGTATGTATGTATGTATGTATGTATGTATGTAATCGAATGTAATGCATCCAGTGTATGTACTGTACTGTACAGTACTGTACTGTACTGTACTGTATGTAATGTAATGTAACGTAATGTCATGTCATGTCATGTCATGTCATGTAATGTAATGTATGTATGTAATATATGCATCAATGTATGTACTGTACTGTACCGTACCGTACCGTACTCTACTGTACTGTACTGTACTGTACTGTATGTATGTAAAGTATGTAATGCAATGTGATGTGATGTGATGTGATGTGATGTATGTATGTATGTATTGTATTGTATGTATGTATGTATGTATGTATGTATGTATGTATGTATGTATGTATGTATGTATGTATGTATGTATGTATGTATGTATGTAAT